AGATCAACGGCAGGATGCAAGTGATTTTTTGCGGTGGCATTTAACTTTTGTATTAGTTTGATTCGAGGTACAAACAGAAATACAAAACATTTGTCCCATACAAACATAACCTGGCTCTGTTCAGATTGTTTTCAAATGTACCAAGATCCACTGATTTGAGAAATGCAACCTGACAGACATAATGTACGGTAACTCACTTTTCCAAAACAAAAAGAGACCTCAGAGATTGTAAGGTGAATCCTGCTATTTGAAAGGCTCCAGATGGTCGTCGCATCATTTTGTCGATGCGAAAACTGAAAAAGGATTTAAAAGGACTTTTGTCTTACAGCTCTCTGCGAGCGCAATGTAATTATTCCTACTTTTTGAACAGCCTAGCGGTTTCTTTTCTGTCATTCTCCCACAGGTGCCTCACTCCATCTTGTATTCGCCCGAATGTACATGAGAGGCCGCGACTGACAAGGTAAGAGGTTGTCGGCAGCCGTGCGGGTGAAAAGGAATTACCATATGTAAAGAATAAAGGTGGCGAGGTCGTTCTTTCTGTGCCCGCATAAAGCAGGTAGATAACCATGGATAAGTGCGCTCAGACGAATACGTGGCGGACACACGCGGATGCGCACGGATGCTAGTCACGTAAACAATTGAGTGTAATACTGTAGTGGTTCCAGGTGACTTGCAGGTACACAGCAGGTCGTTCCTTGTGAAAGGTCTCAGTCAGTACGGTCTGATTAGCACTGAAAAGCAGGTTTTCTCATCAGGATCAGCTTTCATACTGACGATATACTGCTACTTTTAATTTGGAATACAAATCAACACAAATAGAAAAAATTCAGCTATAATTGAAGCCCACAGTATTGCATGTGGAAAAAATAAAATACATCCTAAAAATTCTCCCCAAAACACCGATAATATTCAATTAATGGAAAATGGAGGCAGAGGACACCCTCCTCAAAAAAACAATTTTATTTAAAAATAATGTCTTTTTCTTCCAGCTGTATACGCTCAGAAACGATGACAGGACAGAACATCCATGGAATGAACGAGATTATGTTTGCTGTGCTGTAATGTCTTAGTTTGTGGATCGTATCAATGACGCTCCTAATCGATTGGCAAATGATGACAGTACAACTGACCACTGATTTTGCATGAAGTATCTGTGTAAAAATCTAATAAATATAAACAAAATCATTATACATCATATAAATATGAAATAAATTTAAAAAACACATCCAATGTGAGTCAGGACTCCCCTCAGTTCCAAAAAACCCTTTATGGAACCAATCAAAATTTTGATTACTTGTGTACCACGCTGTAACTGGGCTATAAACAGAGAAAAAATTCAGTAAAATTCTGGAGTTTTATTTTTTTTCATGGGCATCAATTTGCCTGAATAAAAATTAATAATAATAATGATAGATGAGAGCGCCACTGCCACCTACTGCAATGGATGTGCAATTACACTTTATTTTTGTCACATCCCAAAAAAAAACATGTTCCCCAGGTCACACACGCTGCCTCTGGCGCACCACTGCACCACCCTACATTTACAGTATCAAACCCAGTGCCTGGACCTGGAACTCTTTCCAACCTCTTCATGAATCAATAAATGTCTGGAAGTAGACTAAAGACCAATTCTGTATCATTGTTCCCTGTCACGTCACGTTAGCATGGCCACTTGCTGCTGGAGAGCGTTCGTCGGGCTCAAAAATAACTCCCCTATTGGCAGATGAGAAAATGGAAATTATGACTGTCACACTGTTTGACTGGCGTAGTAAGGACTAACAGTTGCTCTCCTCACCCTGGGACAGACAAGAACTGGAAATCACAAGAACACAGCGTTCACAATTTAATGCCTCCTCGGTTTTAAAATACCAAATGAATGAATGAAAGAAAGAAAAACCGCTGATTACGATGCTGGGGACTGCGACCCCGTGCTGCCGAGTGTAATGATTCCAGAAAATACGAGACCAAAACCACATGTGGGAACTTGAGTAGCATTCTTTTTTTTTTTTTTTTTTTTTAAAGAGAGGAACGAAAACAAGGAACCGAGAAGAGAACTTTTGTGACGAGGTTAGATTTCATAAGGAGTCATTTCCAGCAAGCATGTGTTTAACAAGGCTGCCTAGATTGCCACAAAAAGTCGGGTTCATGCTAATTGGTTTGCATGTTTTTGATGAATGGGAGCGAGCATGCAGGAAGGCTGCTTTCATGGCACTAATAGGGCTTTCAGCAAGATCATTACCTCCCAAAAAGGCTCTGTCTCGACTTTTCCATTTATTCCTTGCGAAATAATCGCAAAGAGCCATCTGCAGACGGGGTTAAAATTACATGTTTCGTAGCTTTCTGCTGGCGTCATCAAACAATGTCTCCGCGTTTCTCTCCGGCCTCTGATCAACTCACACAGGAAGTCGAAGGCTTGGAATACAAAGCAAATGTAAGAGGCTTGTGGACAACTCAAATGCACTCAGAGAGGCCATTAATAAAAATAATTAGCACAGGAGATGAGCTAGGGGGGGCGGGGGGCGAACGGGCAGAGAGCAGCTTGGCAGATGTAAAATCTCATTTCTGTTATTCAATTTATCAGAGGCTGAAGCAGGAAACGCACCAATCATTTGAGTAGTGCCTACAGCAGCGAGCTTTGTGACTGTGGATGGACATGCAAAACGCAAGGAGGCCATACTGGTCGGCCAGAGGGGTCATTTGCCAAGAAAGAAGATCAGATATCGCCAATTTATCTTGCTCGAAAGGATTAGAGACAGAAGAGAAAAAGCAAGAGGGCAGCTGCACACGCTGCTGCAGCTTTAATGTACTTTAAGGATGTGGGAGTCATTCATCAACCCACACAAGACGCACGCCCACGCCGTCGGAGGTTCAGGTTCGGGAAGGCCAAGGTGATTATTGCCACGGTAACTCACACCAGTCACAGTGGTGGCGAGTAATCGCGCGGGTCTCCACCCTGTGGCTACATGTGTGACACAACAAGCGAGTCCTTGGAAGGTAGCGCACACGCTTTCTTCCCCGTTTCCCCCATGCTATCGCTTATGGCATCTTGGGACAGTCGCTGCGCGCTTCCAACTTTATAGGACCGGTTGGGGGAAGGCACTTTACTGTTCGGGCACGACAACGCCGGCGCTATAAAGGCATGCTGGAGGTGTTTGGTCATGCTATGAATTAGAACAGAGATTGTGAATCCGAAGGACCTGAGAGATGGGAGAGTAATTCCCACAGACACACACCAACATTCCCACTCCAACATCTGGTTGAAAGTCTTCCTAGATAAGTGGATGCTGTTATCGCTGCAAAAGATATGGATCGGCTCCATATTGTTTCTGTATTGTCAGTTCCGGAAGATGATTCTAAAAAAATACCAACCTTGTAATGTTGTAGTATATGGTCATTTGTTGTCGCGCGGCAATGGCTATACCATACCAAATATTTACAATCAAAAAGGTAATTCGTAATGAATAAAGCTCAGAACACACACGCTAAAAATCCATCCATCCATCCATTTTCTAATTTGCTTCTGCTCACGGGTCACGGGCGTGCTGGAGCCTATCCCAGCTGTCTTCTGGCAGTGGGCGGGGGACACCCTGAACCGGTTGCCAGCCAATCACAGGGCACACTGAGACGAACAACCAACCACGCTCACATTCACACCTATAGGGACAATTTAGAGTGTTCCATTAACCTGCCTTGCATGTTTTTGGAATGTGGGAGGAAAATGGAATACCCAAAGAAAAGCCACGCAGGTACAGGGAGAACATGCAAACTCCACACAGGAAGGCCGGAGGCGGGATCGAACCCACAGCCTCTGCACTGTGAGGTCGACGCGCTAACCACTTGACCATCGGGCCGCCCAAGCTAAAAATAAAATTTTTAAAAATCCAATTTAGCGATTGTTTTATGCCTCCAGAAGGACACACAATAGACAACAGCATTTGAATCTGAGAAGACAACCCCATTTATTTTGCTGTTTCCCATCCTGGCACTTCGCGCATACCCCTTTGGTGTACTGAAACAACAGAGAGGCTCGCCAACAGTGGCATTAACCACAAAGGCAGCTTGAACTCCAAAAACAGATCGTATGTAAAAGGACCCACAAAAAAAGTTTTCAAAACGGGAACGAAAGGAAAAAAATGATTCATCTATGATAGTTTTCACGGACGAGGCATATTCAGCAACAGGAGAGAGCTCATTCAGCGGAGTATGTCTTGAACATTTTTGATCAAATTACATGAAAATGACACTTAACAATGGCGAGAAAAGCAAGACACCACAAAAGCACCCCAATTACACGGGTCCTCGGTTTGCAAGCCACATTTGTAACTGTTCATTGACGTAATCTCTGAACCACAGAAAAAAAAGCAGAATAGTCCGGCCTGGGAGGGACGCTGGTCTGTGGGATTTCAGGAAAATATGATGGAGGTCATCAGGAAGTCGTTATATAAGCGGACCGGTAGCGTGTGCGTCTCTATGTCGCTCTTTCAAGCTTTGAGGCCTGCGTCGTGTGATAACCAGGCGAACTTCGCCAACGCGCAGATCTTTAACTACACCACTGAAATAAATTACATTTGAAATTTTACTGGGGCTTAACAAGGACCCCTTTCACATCGAAATCGGGTTGAAAATGGTTCAGGGAAAAAAAAAAAATAGGGGGAATTCCTTTAAATTTCCACACATTCCATTTATTTCCCATGAATGTTTTCCCACAATGTCAACGGACTTTATGGAAAAGGAGTGCGCGTGATGTTGATTTTAAAAACTGCACTTAAAAGTTTCACGCTGCAACTGCAGTCGGAAGTCGGAGGACCACAGAGGAGATCCGACACCATCCCGCATAAAACTTTTCAATCATAATTTTACTGTTTGCGAGCCTCACGTGGGCCAAGCTGTAAAAATAAAAATGAACCCTGAATCATGGCGGTGTCGGCGGGTAATAACGGTTACGATAATGATGTCGGAGGCCGGCGGCAACAAAGGGACGGCGAGTGAAAGTAGCCTACCGTGGTCGGTGATTTTACAGGAGACCAGATAGAGCTCCTTCAGGCTCCTCCCCTCCTTGGCGATGATTTCCACGCACCTACAGCAAAGCAGAGAGAGAGACATTTGAAGCACCTGCACTCAGATCAGCTGCTATCTCTGTGTTATCCCAAAGAGCATTTTTTTTTTCAAAAAATGTAATAATCAATACAAATCAAGCGATTCTCCTGCAGCCGAGGTTAAAAAGAACATCGGCAGGGTCACCTCACTTTACATATTCCGCCATTTATTATTTAACACCTGATCTGATTAAATTAACATGTGGGGGAATGACTGGACCCTATGTGCACGTGTCGGCATGCAAGTGCACGCGCACGCACACGCGCACACACACACACTCACACTTGTTAACTTCAAAGATGGCAATCTGCATTCAGCACACTGGCCGAGCCCACAGGAGCAGAGTGTGTGTGCAAGCGTGTGTGCGCGTGGGTGTGTGTGTGCGCGCGTGTGTGTGGTGGCATGTCTGCGTGTGGATGTAAAGGTAAAATGAAAGTATGCACGAGGGACGGCCAAGGGGAAGATCAGAGGATGTGTATCAAGCAATTCTCTTTAAATGATTCTAATGAGAAGTGTGAGTGCTAAAACGGGATTTTGATCAACACATTTGACCTATTAACCTTCAGCAGAAAATGTTTTGATCATTATGCTGGTGTTCTTTCATGAATATGTATGTGCCAAAGAGGGAAAACACACACTGGAATTAACATAGATGCCTAAGATGACAGGAGAAAAAAAAAAAGAGCGAGAGGGGGGGAAACGCAGTTGATGTATTTGTCCATTCAAAGACATTCTGAGCCTTTGGATGCCAATCTGAGTTGTTTTTTTTTTTTTTTTTCATCTCCTGGAAGAGTTGTCATTGCAGTCTTGGAGCAATTTTGGTTGGCAATCCCCTCCTGGGAAGGTTCACCACTGTTCCCAATTTTCTCCATTTGTGAATAATGGCCATGGTTTGCTCTCGTCCCAAAGCTGTGGAAATGACTTTGTAACCTTTTCCAGACTGATAGACAGACTTCAGTCACTTTCTTTCTCATTTGTTCTTGATTTTTGTTGTTGTCTTGTGGCTTGAGGGTTTCATTTTGAGATCTTGTGGCTGTTTTCATTGTGTGCAACAGGTGCTATTTAAACGATTTCTTGAGTCAACAAAGCGGGAGGTAATCGTGCTTGGGTGTGGGCAGCAGCGTTGCCATGGTTACCTTGAGGAAGCAATTTAAGTTACTGGTGACTTGATTTTAAGTTTACTTTATTAGTACAGATGCCGACAACTCCACTTCACAAGTCACAACCAGTTTTATGACGAGTTAAAGTGCATTTTTAACAGTGACTTTCAAGAATAAAGTTATAATATACATTATTTATTATTTATATATTACATTTGGGGACCTCATAAGAGTCACGCGGCCTTGTGTGTCGTTCTCTTTTAGCTTGGATGTGACGCGATTCATGTTTTTTTTTCTGGCATACTTGTAGGTTTGTGAAGCGACATAACACTTTGCTAACAGCACACAATGTGCGCCGTACCTTAATTTTTTTTTTTTTTTTCCGAGATGACACAAAGTAAAAATAGTGAATAGTGACCTCCGGTGCTATTTTTCATGCGGTCGAAACATGACACGGCGCGTGTGTGACGTCACTCCTCCAGATTCTTTACTGGTTGCACGTATTCATGTATGCAACTGTGCCTTGCGCCAGAAGAAATTTCTCCCTCGGGAGACAAATGATGAGAAATCATGATACTGCTGCAAGATATGAATGGCCGAGCTGCTTCGTTGAAAATGCACCTTGTATGTTCCAGTACTACTTATCTTTATCCACCTGACCAAAGGGCAAAGCAAAACTCTGTATGCTTAACAGGTTCCAGTAAACTGAAATGCATTGAGAATCGCCCTGGGAATCTAATACAGAAATATTTCCTTCTGAAAGGCACGATTTGTAAGGTTGGGTTTGTAAGTGCAGCCCTTCCATGTGTGACATATTGCACTGTGGAATCAGGCGGCGACAGATGTGTGAGCAAAGTTCAAATGTGTGGCATATTTCTGCACCGTATTTGGTGCACCGGCCTATCTGCTTTAGTTCACTGGGCTGCATCTTTATACTTCCCTTTTTCTATTACATTCCCGTTGCAGAGGTCCAGGGAGGGTTTTCAATGTTATCAGGCTGCGCTTTCACTACTTTCTATTCCATCTTCCAATTTTGTCCTGTTTATGTTTGTCCCTTTTTTTTTCCAATGCAGTTTTCCTTCGTACAGCCACCGATGTATTCATGGTTGGTTCCTCTCCCCGCCCCGCCCCGCAAAGAAGTACTACAGCCACCGATGTATTCATGGTTGGTTCCTCTCCGCGCCCCCCGCAAAGAAGTACTTTTTTTTTTTCTTGCTTTCAAACTTATCATTCTTAATGGGTCAATAAAAATGTCAGTTTGTGTCTCAATACCATATTGAGAAAAATCTATCTACATGAAAACCGATTCAGAGGCTGTTAATTCAAGGTCAAAGCTAAAGGTTTGTATTTGTCTTTTATTTGTGCATGTCACATTCAGAGCACTGATAGCTTAGCAGTATACTCCACAACTGCCAATTTGCCGGAGCGTTTTATAAATGCCATCAGTCTCCTCTGGCATTAAATGTGTCTCTCTACCCTGGCCATTTACATTGAGAAGTAAAGACAGAGTAGCTTCTCCATGGTCGTTGTATGTTATAACGTGTAGTTCTCTCTGAGGTTCAAATAATGTGGCAATTTCCCAACAAACTACTTTGAAGAGGAAAACCGACAGTCCCAAAGTCTTGTATTGCCACATCTCTGACCACGCCAGGACAATCGACAACAATCAACCCAAACACCGTTCATCAACATCAGAGTCTTGCCCCACTAACTAAAGCCACAAAACAACTAGTGAAGCACTGTAGGAGTGTTGAAAAGATCGTGGAGTTCCATTTGTTGCATATTCCGACACTGACACAGTGGGAGATTAGAGCTATGTTTCGGTATACAGGTATATTAGTCATTGTGTATCACATCAGTCTTTCGTCCATCCATCAATTTTCTTTAGTGTTGATCCTCATTGGGGTCGCCTCTGATTTTGGGCAAGAGGTAAGGTACACACGAGACAGGTCGCCAACCGATCACGATTTAGAATCTTGAGTTGATCTAACAAGCCTGTTTTTGGAATGTGGGAGGAAGAGTACCCTGAGGGAAAAAAAACCCACCCAAGCGTGGGAAAACCATGCAAATGCAACACAGGAAGACTGAGGGCTAGATTCCAGCCCTCATCCTCAAAACTGGGAGGCAGATGTGCTACCATCTTCATGGTCTTCGACGCATAAATTCACAAACCAATCTTGAAGCACTGGATGTGCAAACTGTCTTTTGACATTTAAGACTTTGGATGGCCACGGTTTTAAAAAGGCAGAAAAATACCTGACAAGCATGATCCACCATTGTACAATAACAGCCCCTACGCTCGAGATTCGGTCAAACCAGCCGAGACGAAATACCAAGCTGTGTGTCTTGGGGGCAGCTGCATCGGAGCTGCTAATGAATAAATGCGCTGGTGAGAGCCCGCCAACAAAGGAGATGAGAAGAAAGAAGAGATTTAGGAATGCAGCGACGGAGGCCGAGCCACAGTTGCATCCAGTGGGAGCTTGTTACTCTGTGCTCCCGGGGTCCCAAGAGTCACCGCGAAAGCAATTAGATCAGACATCAGTGACTGAGGAGTGGGAGCCAGGGAAGATGGAAAGACGGCGCAGCGGGAAAGAGAATAAGTAGGAATCTCCATTCTGTGGCGAAAGGGAACAACAGAGGAGAGGTGAGAGAACTGAAGCAACAGGAGACGAAAATGGTGGGGGAGGCGGTGGGGGGGTGGGGGGGGGAACATTAAAAAGGCAAGAGTGAGCACGAATGAAATGGAGGAAGGATAAATTGAGGAGAAAGCGGCGGTTTAGGAATCGGCAGGAAGCGGAGATGCGGCATGTGAAGGCGGAGGTCAAGCCACATGAAAGAGCCGAGAGACGCAACTGACTCACCCACCCTACCCAGCCATTTCCTCAGCTGATATGAATTACTGATCATTTCGGGTAACATGATGTCATTTCAGCAGATTGTGAGTATATTTTTAAGAGTTTGATCATATCACTATGCGTTAGACTAGCGACCAGAAGTTAGCTCGCCTCCGTAGCCCAAATGGTGCCTGCATATAGTCCCTTACATCACCGTCACCGCCAACCTCAATCCGTACGTGCATTCAAAGACTACAGGCCCTATTTCCGTGCTCAGTGTAGGTCTAATGATTGGTCTAATGGTTTGGACATGTCCAGAGGAGAGAGAGTGAATATATTGGGAGAAGGATGCTCAGCCTTGAACTGCCAGGCAGGAGGCCGAGATGAAGACCAAAGAGGAGGTTTATGTTAGATGACAAGTAAAACGTTTAAGTTAGATGACAAGTAAAACGACACAACGCATGGTACATTCACAGGATATAGACGCTTAAAAAAGAATCTGGGTGAAGTATGACAGTATGGAGACATCGTTTACACTACATATGTTGTCAGTTAATTTTCACCTCAATCCCTTTTTGTAGGAAAAAAAAATGACTATATCGCAGTCTCCATGACAACCTCAGAATGTTCAAGTAATTGGTGCAGCCGATAGGCAGGCGACAGAAAAAAGGTGGCGATCCTCACTGGGGGTCACCAAGTGTCACCTCGCTGTCGGCACAAACAGCTTGAGGGGATCTATAAATGTTGCTTGATCTTATTCCTGCATTCGCACACAAGCAGAAATTAAACATGGTTTAGTTTGCAGAAAACTGCTGGCTTGGGGGTCACTTCTTCATTCCCGAAGTAGTACGCATTTTCTACTAAAATGCAAAAACAGAACCCTCAGAACTGGCCTTGCTAAACCTGTCCATCAACTTCACTCTCGCTGCACAGACTCAGAATGAGTACTCAACCTAAGAATGAGTACTCAAATCATCACAGCTTCAGAATGGATACACTTTACTTCAAGGAGAAATATGAAAAACATTCCAAGTCCTTAATATACCCAT